ACCCCACCCCACCCCACTAACACTAACACAACCCCATAAAAATTATATACCTTTTGAATATAGAGCAAAAGGGTATTTGGTTATTAGATATTGGACAAATAGGGCGCGTGCTTTTGATGTTTGGATGTGTATGGACATCTATGTCAATAGCGGATTGTAAGGGAGTGGTAGTCCGGTGATTGAACGTTCGCAAACGAAAGCTTGTTTAGGGTTCGTTCGTTTAATAATCGAGTTGAGCTCGAACATGCAATGCAGCTCATTTATTATTTGAACGAACACAAACACGTTCGCGAAGATAAACAAATGTTCGTGAACAACAAAATTCTTAATAATAATAATAATGAATAAGTATTTTTTAAGTTTTGATAATCGACCTATTCGAACAATTCGAGCTAATCGAACGCTCGAGAAGTTTCAATAATTTCGATTAGCTAAACGAACCGAACACGAACAAAACACGAACTTAACGAACAACTAAACGAACGAAAATGAACATTAATTTAGGCTCGACTAGTTAACGAACGAACTCGAATAAGCTCGAATATTAGTTCGAATTCAAGCTCGAACAACCTAGGATCGGTTTAGTTCGATTAGTTTGCAACACTTTTCATTGCATGCTGTAATTATTTTATTTATTTATTAAAAGCTAGTTGCATTGTCTAAAATTTCCATTTGAAGATGACAAGAAGGTTTGATAAATAAACAGGAGATAATCACAACAATCGTACTATTTAAATCATACTTCTATAATCATGATTGATTTATGTAATTCTTATGTTCGTTATCATCAATGAAGAATATCATTTTCGTAATATGAGTTGTTCTAGCTAACTAAATTCAAAATGTACGAAGTTGGCGATTTCAGTGGCAAGTCAAGGCAAAGACTCGGCAAAAAATTTAGCATGATTAAGGCTTTCGAGCTGGCTAGTCATTCGCTTGAACGACCAGTGCTGTTAAATTAAACGAGTCTGACTCGGTTCGGCTCGAGCTCGGCTCGTTAAGGCTCGGTCCGACTCGAGTTCGAAGCATTAACGAGTCGAGCTCGAGCTCATTTAAAGCTCGTTTGGCGAGCTCGGCTCGATAAGGCTCGTAAAGGCTCAAAAAGTGAAATTTATGTAATTTTTTATAGTTCGCCTCGTTAAAGCTTGAGATCGGCTCGTCAAGGCTTGAACTCGAGGCCTTAACGAGCCGAGCTCGAGCTCGATTTTTGGCTCGTTTACTTAACGAACCGAGCTCGGCTCGTCTCATTAAGAGCTCGAGCTCGAGCTCAAACACCTTAAGCTCGAGCTCGGCTCGGCTCGGCTCGTTTACAGCCCTATGAACGACTTCTGAGGTAGGTCAGGCGAATGTTGAAGAGCTTAAGATAAAACCGACATGACTAAGGCTTTTGAGCTAGTCGGTCGCTTGTTTGAACGACCTCAAAGGTAGGCTTTTGAGCTAGTCGGTCGCTTGTTTGAACGACCTCAAAGGTAGGTCTGCAAGTGTTGGAGCCTTGACGAAAAACAAGACCATAGAGGCAGGTCAGGCAAGTATTAGAGCCTTGATGACAAAGACCCATCATGACTAAGGCTTTCAAGCTGGTCGATCACTTGTCTGAATGACCTCTTAGGCAGGTCGGACAAGTGTTGGAGCCTTGATGACAAAAATCCGGCATGATTTTTTATTTGAGCGACCTCAGAAGTTGGTAAAGTGTTGGAACCTTGACGTAAAAAATATGGCAAAGTTGAGATCCTCGAGGTGGCCAGTTATTTGTCGGAGCAATCTCACAGAAAGATCAACTGACAGCCATGATTAACTTTTACATACAAGTTGAAGAATTCCAAAGAAGGACCTCAGCGGAAGGTCGATTCGATTGGGGTCTATGTGACGATTACATTTTAAATTATGGAGTTTATTAAATGTAGACTCATTTTAGGACATCAGCGGAAAGGTCGAGTCTATAAGGTAAACCTAATGGCGAAAATTTTTCTATGTCCAGATTTAAATGTTGTGACCTCAATAGCAGGTCGAACAAACAAGTATATATTCTTAATTAGAGATGGTGAAAATTTTTTTACGTATGCAATCACTTTTGGAGACCTCAGTGGTAGGTCGAGTAATTATGGCGACTATGATATCAAGCGTAATTTTTTTTCTAAGTGTGAGGTTCATTTTAGAGACGTCGGTGGCAGGTCAAAGTGTTCGTGGACAACAAGATTCTTAATAATAATAAAAGTAAATAAGTATTTTTTAAGTTTTGATAATCGACCTATTCGAACAATTCGAGCTAATCGAACGCTCGAGAAGTTTAAATAATTTTGATTAGCTAAACGAGGCGAACACGAACAAAACACGAACTTAACGAACAACTAAACGAACGAAAATGAACATTAATTTAGGCTCGACTAGTTAACGAACAAACTTGAATAAGCTCGAATATTAGTCGAATTCAAGCTCGAACAACCTAGGATCGGTTTAGTTCGATTCGTTTGCAGCACTTTTCATTGCATGCTATAATTTATTTTATTTATTTATTAAAAGCTAGTTGCATTGTCTAAACTTTAATCCAATTGAAAATGACAAGAAGGGTTGATAAATAAACAGGAGATAATCACAACAATCATACTATTTAAATCATACTTCTATAATCATGATTGATGTATGTAATTTTCATGTTCGTTATCATCAATGAAGAATATCATTTTCGTAATATGAGTTGTTCTAGCTAAATAAATTCAAAATGTATGAAGTGTTGGTGACTTCAGTGGCAAGTCAAGGCAAAGACTCAGCAAATAATTCAGCATGATTAAGGCTTTCGAGTTGGCTGGTCATTTGTTTGAACAACTTCAAAGATAGGTCGGGCGAATGTTGAAGAAATTAAGATAAAATCTGACATGACTAAGACTTTTGAGCTGGTTAGTTGCTTGTTTGAACAACCTAAGAGGTAGGTCGGAAAGTGTTGGAGCCTTGATGAAAAACAAGACCTTAGAGAAGGGTCGGGCAAATATTGGAGCTTTGATGACAAAGACCCAACATGACTAAGACTTTCAAGCTGGTCAATCACTTGTCTGAATGACCTCGAAGGCAAGTTAGGCAAGTGTTGGAGCCTTGATGGCGAAAATGCAGCATGACTAAGTCTTTGGATTTGACCGATTGCTTGTTTGAACGACCTCAAAAGTATGATACGAGGAGGAGGAGGAGGAGGAGCTACTTGAATTTATAAGGCTCAACGAGTACGAAGTAACAATGTACATAGTTAAAAAAGGGGGTGTCTATATGTACACCCCCTCAAGTGTAAAAAAGGGGTGTACATATAGCACTTTTCTTTGTGTAATTTGTTAAAGGGGGGTGTACATATAGCATTGCCCTTAAAAAAACAATCACCTTTTGACATGCAACTTTATCACATCGTATTTCTATATCAGCTAAGCTAATTTACCAATCACGTTCGGTACCACTTCACTTCAAGAAGAACAAACACATAATTTTTCTTTTCGACACTGTAATTTTACACGGTGCTATTTCTTAACAAACATTTTGATGGTCAAATGCAAACTCGAGCATCATTCATTGTTACAGCACAAATGGTGGAAGCACGGACCAACCTACCATACACATTTTAAAACAAAAAATGTATATTTTTTACACTATAAAATGCCATCTTATAAAATTAAATTTAAAAAATATAGTTACCTAATTAAAGTTTAGGTCACAACCTAATAGCAGAAATACCCTTGTTACAAAACAACGGACCCGTTCGCCAACGCTACCTGCACGTCCTCCAGACAGGCCACGAGCTCCCCGTACTCTTGGGTATCACTAAAATCAGTCCCTCGCTTGATCGTGCTCTTCAGATGCATCTCGGCCGCAAACAGCTCCCTTCGAGATGCAATTTCCTTGTACACATGGGACAATTCCAGCGAGGCTCGTGCAAACTTCACAAACCTCTCCTTATCCTTCCACACATCCTCCCCCCCATACGACCTCACCTGCTTCAGAAGTGCCTCCGAACACATAACCAAATCTCCCTTCACCCTGTGCCACCTGGCATACAGCCCCCACAACTCTGGGCTCCCACCACAACCCTGAACGGCGCATCTTAAAACCCTCCCGAGCTGCTCCGCTAGGGCAGAATTACCGTTTTTCCCCTCAACCTCCGACATGACCCTACCAAGTAAATCGCAATTCACCCTCTTCATATTGGTTAACTCGAGCACCATCGACAAGGCCTCAAGTGCCTGGCTGAAGTTCCCAACATCTGCTGCCACATCGCTATAATTCTCCCACATCTGCCAGCTGTTGCGCTTCAGCTTCAACGCCTCCTTGAACGCGATAAAAGATTCCCTGCTTCGTTTATTGACCTTGTGAATGCAGGCTATGTTGTTCCAGGCCTCGGAATTTTCAGGCTCGAGCTGGATGGACCGGGTGAAGGCGTCGAGTGCCTTGTTAATGTCCCTCGACTTGAGGGCCGCGGCCCCGAGCGCGAACCACCCGTCCGGGTACATTGAATTGAGGTTCATGGCCGACTCCCAGAGTTTTTTCGAGTTTTCGTAGTCAGCTCGGTTGTAGGCGGACTTGGCCAGGGACCGAAAGGCCCTGGCCGACCGGTGGCCGGAGACTTCAAGGGCCTTGTGGTAGGGGGCATCGTCATGGGTGATGTCACCGAGGGAGCACCACAGCCTTGGGTCGGATGGTTTATCGAGCAGGCGCCGGTTGATGAGGTCAATGGCCGCCGGTTTTTTGTCCATGAGCTGGTAGCAGTGAATCAGGTGGTCCCACAGCTCGAGGTCCTCATATGTTGTGAGGGCTTCCCCTATAAGGCCACAGCTTACGAGAAGGTCCCCGTATTCCCTAGATTTTTAAAGCTTTATGTCACAATTGTCTCTGATGGAAAAGATTTGGAATTTGTAGAGTTTTCTTTTCCTTTTTTTTTTGTCATTTGGTTTTATATTTCTGCAGTTATTTATTTTCTGGTATTTTTTCATCTTTATTATTTATTTAAAATTTGAGTCCAGTGAATGTTTGAAGAAAATGGAAAAAGAAATCAGATTACTTGCGAAGTGCAGGGATTGATGGCATGTTGACGGCAAAACAGTAGTATAATCTTTGAGGAACTCCTGGAGAAGGGTCGTATAAGCCCTCCACCTGTTAGTGGACAACATACGAGATTTAGTGTTGGGCAATGACTGCCCAAGAAAAAGAGTCGCGATAAAATTATAGCATCCCGTGCAAGCAAAGGGCAAAGCTATACTCTATCTGAGTGATTAGGATCGAGCAAGACCTTAACATGGCAATCAAATATGATCATAATGCCCTCCTTCCTAGAACTATACACTCATCTGACACACCCCCACAAAAATGAGGAAGGAGGTGGAGACGTGCAGAATTGAATGAATGATATATTGGCCATTGCATAGAATCCACTAGTTCAAAATAAGAAAGAGGATATAGAGAAAAGGTCCTAAAGCAAGACATTATTGATCAATGTAGGATGAGAATTCAGTGACAAAGGTAAAGTACCAGCTTTTCCATCATCAGCAAGGCACGCTGCTTTGTTCTGCTGCGACTTGACTCCCAACGGACACGTAATATGTTGCAGTAATATCGAACCTGGAATAATAAATGACCAGAATCAGCAAAAGTCTAAGAGAAAATTGTGTATAATGCTTAGTCCATATTACTGAAATAACTGAGTGATGAGCAAATTGGAATTTACTAATCAAAATTAACTTCATAATTTGACTGTATCTATCAAGATAAAAATGATGATGCCATACAGTGTTATCAAATGGCGGCCATGGCGGCGCCATGGCGGTATGGCGTGGCGGTTTTTTGACAATCCGCCATGCTAAATTTGTGAATGATGGCGGTCATGGTGGCGCCATAGACCGCCACGGCGGCCGCCAATGGCGGAATTTTGGCAAAACGCCATGTACCGCCATCCGCCATTAATAACACTGATGCCATATCAAACATCAAATATTATCATGATGGTAAAGAATATGTAGCAACAGAGAGAAGAATTCTTCACTCACAATGAATGGAGAAGTATCCTGAGAATCAATAGCCTCAATATATGGTGCCAGTTCCCACACTGGAAAAGGAAGAATTCAAATAGAAAATCAGCATGATCCGAATTTCATCTAAGCATAAAAAGCAGTATAATAAATAAGACAAGATGCGTGATGCACAATTCAAATCAGAATATTCCTTTGTTTTTTATAGACCATCTCTTAACTACCTATAAGAAATATGGAAAACCTTAACATCTTTCAAGATGTTAGTTAGTTAGTGTACTTCTGTATCAAAACTGCTCCTCACTCTTCAATTGACCATATCAGGAAAAGAACCATAGGTCTTCCTCTAAGTATAATAAAAAAAGGAAGAATAAATTAAATATACACACACACATACTTTGCATTTCATCACTACGGGCCTTTTTCTCGATAGAAAGGCAATGTGCCAGAATCAGGGCTTGGTGAACTGCCTTCAACTGTGAGGGTCCAGTAACATGACATTGGGCATCCTGCTTGATATTTTCAAAATGTTCCACACCATCTAGAAATCTAGGAGCTATCAATACATCCGATGCTCCATATGCTTCAGAAAGCTGGCGACGTTTAGTAGTTTCGGCAGTGCTGGCGTCCTGACTTACTGGATCTGATGTATCTCCACCGTTCGTTTCAGAAACAAGACGAAGCAGTGCTTTTGGTTCCTCCTGTTATATGCCAAACATTAATTAGCAGACGTAAATATGAGACTACAATTTCCAACTGAAGCTCGACTTTTAAGGTGTGTGAAATATATTACCTGATGCTGAGTCCGAAAACCCAGAGCACCACTAATGAAAAAATTATAGTTGGACATCTCTGCAGCTGATTCAAAATGCTGACTGAAA